GATAGGCGGTTTTATGACGCGGATAAACATGCAATCCGTACCCTGACAGAGGTTTTTGGGAGTAAACTATGGAAGAATAGTGTGGTGGCTTTAACCTTTGCTAACTTTAAGACCAAAGATCCAGATGAAGAGAATGACTTAACTTACTTCTCGAATGAGAAGTACTTCTGGGAAAAAGAAATCGATGAATTCCTAGCCAATTTAAAGGTTGATTTACTAGTGCGTCAACAGATTCCAATTGTTCCGACAGGAAATTTTAAACAACTTTGCCTTCCCGGTTGTGAGAACTGGCTCTCAGAGCTGTGGATAAAATGCTTCAATGTCATGAGTATTTCGTCAGGGTTAGCATTCTTCAAAATTAACGAGAGCCGTTTGAAATATCTAGACAGTTCTCCAGTCACCGCAAGCACGGCCACCGCAAGCACGGCCGCCGCTGCCTGTTCCTCTTACAATCCTGATGCTCATGAGGATATCCCAACAGAGATTCCTCAGAATCAAGAGCAAGAAGATGGGCTGTTAAAGAGGCTTTGGAAGGCTTTCTTGGACGTCTATGAAGCAGCTAAAAACTTTGGTCATCGCATATTACGATTTTTTTTTTGCCAAACGAGGTAATTCAAATGTCAACTAGCAAACGATTATGAACGAGTTTTCACACGAAAACCAATATGTTTTGCTCAGAGAACTTGAAATTTTTCTCACTTTGCATGTGCTTAGAGAATTAAAACTGATCCTTTCCTGTAGCGTTAATATTTATGGCCTAGGGGTAGTCAATTCCACGAATTTTGAAAAGCACACGACAGATATATCTATCCGCTAATAAGGACCTTGAGCAAACGGCGAACCTAACAAAACAAAAGATCTCATGGGCAGAAGAATAGCCCAGCACGTGCATTTTAAATTTTTGTACATTTCTTGGTTTTCCTCTACGAAACAACAACGTTAAATCACCAAAATTTGCGTCATGTGATGAGAACTGAAACCACGACGCAAATTATTTAAGTTTCCATCTGGAACTCAATGTTTCTTACAAACACTTTGCCGAAGTTGAGGTGTAGCACCGTAACGGTAAACACATCTAGCCATTCGCGAGATTCTAGTTGAAATTTTCAATTCATTTTTTAATCGACGGTATTGTCTTCCTGACTGCTCAAGTTCCCTAGTGTACGTTGACATTTGACTGCCCCCACGGCTCGTGTTTCACACCAGATCGTAAACGTAAACGATTCAATAATAACTCGCGCCTACACAGAAGTGGATTGTTTGTATTACAGAAATGACGACTTAATCGAACATACCGTTATAAACTCTAAAAACGAGTTTTGAAATGAAAATTCGTGTGTTAAAGGTGAAGATCGATTGCGTTACTCCGTTTAGAATCATCCCCATCACAGGGGGAAGCCCAAATGAAGGCCATTGGCTGCCCTTAGTTCATTTTGTTAAACGATAAAAATACAGCTATATTTAATCTGAAATACCGTAAGGGTTTCCTTATATTGGTGTCGGGGAAAGGAATGGAAATATTTTATTACTTTAAACCATTCCTGTAAAAAAGAAAAAATTATAAAAAGGCAGGTTGATTACTTCTTGTTCCTTTTGGAAGCCTTATCTTAGAGGTAGAGTTTGGTCACGTTTCCCTCGTTATGATCGCGAAGTTGACATGGAAACAGTTGTTCAGTTTCTACAGTAATTAGAACTCGTGATAGTGTCTTGGGAAAGCTATGTTAATAATTAAGTTAATTTGTTAATCCAGGAAGAGTGAATCTCTCTGGTAAAAGGTCACGTTCGACACCTCTCGTGCTTAAACATGTGATACCCTTCATGTTTCGCAATTAGATAGTTATTATGACTACCACGTAGCAACTTGGATGCGGTACTTGTGAACGCCCCTTCTTCGCCAACTTTTGTAATCATGATGTTGTTATGTAACGGTCTTCTAAGACAATTTTCTCTTAAGATACCCCTTCAGATGTAAATAATATTCTGTCAATAGGTTAGTTATGATTTTTATATTACCAATCTCGTTTCTGTTTTGGCCGATCTCAACTGTAAGAATTAGAAATTTAAGGTAAAAAATGATTTTGTAACTGCGCAAATAACTCGAAGGCGCAGGAACTGTCATACGTAATCTAACATGATTCGCTGGCTGAGATAGAACGATGACGATACCAGAAGATTGACAGCCTAGTAGTGTCATCTGCAGTGTCACCTTTATAAACGGTGACCCTCGCTTTTCTCATTAGATAGAAGTTAGTCCCCGTTGTAACAACTTGAGAAGAAAAGAAATTAAATAAGAATCAACCAAACAAACGACGAATGTTAGAGATTTTACTTCTAAAAATTTGAAGATGTTCCTTGCATGACCCCTCGCTTAGAAACTGGGTGCGTGAGAGGGGCCTGGTCCCTCAGACGATGTCGAGGGACTGGAGCGATTAGTTGAATTTTGTCAGTGTGCATGTTAGTGCGGCATTCCCACTTAGTGATTTCTTTCCTTTTACGTTTCTAATTATATTTTTGTATTTTTGCACGCACATTTTTCTTATTGTTTTCGCCTTCTTTTCACTCACAGCGATTTGTATTCTGTTATATTTTTTCGCATAATTCTGCTGAACATTGGAGAGTCAGATTGCATTAGGTTAACATCGATTCTTTCACTGCGATCATCTTTTAGTTGTTCCGTCCTTCGTGCTCGCAAGTCACGCAACGTTTGTAAGTGTCTTTCCTTTGCCCGATTGTATTTCCTCTGTTGTTTTGCGTTTTCCTATTCCTTCTACTTCGTAATAACTTGCAATAATTTGTTCCTTTTAACAACCACGATCAACCGTGATGTAAATAAATTTTAAAGCGTTCGCGTCTTGAAGCCTGACTTTGTTGGTAGTCACAGTGCAACTACACACTTTTCTGCGAAAATTCACTCTAAACATTCTAAAAGGAAAGGCAAGAACAAACTTGATCCCAATACTGCATAAAAAGGGTATGATTCTGTGCGTGTCATGTACTTAACAGCGTCATTGAGAGCCGAATGTCATTAGCATATCTGGGGCCATACGATTTCGACATTTTAGGTCACGTCACACGTATTCATTTTCCGCTGAAATTTCAAGAAATTGTACTCGTGCCATATGCTGGAAGGTTTGTCTGCGATGGAACCCATAGCATATACACCTCATCCTTTTTCGATTCAGTATTTTCATGTTCTGTCAAATAAATATAAAACAGAATGTAACTCCTTATATTGGTAAATATTTTGGTAATATCTGATCGACACTTACTGATTTTCCAAATCAGTAAGTGTTCCGTGAGGTCATAGTGGCAGTCTTCAACCAATAATTAGGGACGTTAAGCAGTTAGCACTGCAACGCCGAGGAAGACGTCGATTTAAACATGAATACATATCAGACATGGTTTGATGCTACTCTGGTTTACAGATTTAATG